TTCCCCTCCTTAAGGTTTACTCCCAAGTTCTGTTAGTGGCTCACTCACTTCAGTGTTCCCCTATCGGCATGACGCCCTCGAAAGTGTTTTCCGTTTTCTCCAGTGTTTGCTAGAAGTTCCCCAGATTCCCTTCTAAAGCCTCTATGTTTCCAAACGATTCTCAAGAATCGTCAACACCCCAGCCGGCTGTAACAATGTGGCTAAGCAGAGCCTCGAGGCGTCGGTTCGTCTGATATGATTTAACCCGTCATTATTTCACCGCAAACCCACTATTGACACTACTACAGTATGCCTTAATTGTCACCTTTTCGTAGAGTGCAAGTTGTGAATGTGAGCGACACACAAAGCGCTTCGGGGCAACTACGTGCGCGTATCCAACTAGAGCGCTACTTTTACCATCCTTCAAGCCCGTTGTTTTGTATGGCCGCAGCTGAAGTCTGAACTTGTGACGACCTTCCTTTTGGAGTGCTGTAACTCACGAGCGTTTGTTTGATCTTTTTTGGCAACTCCCAAGCAGCTGAGTCGCTAAGAGGCTATAATGCCCTTTTACGAGGTGAAATGGCCTTGCGACGCAGCTACGTTTTACAATCCGTCGTTGCGGCCGCCTCGGCCACCGCACTCACAGCACCAAGCGCTTTTGTTTGAGCGCTGGGTGATGAGCTGCCCGTAACTCGTAACTCGAATATCCATAAACGGGCGACGAATTTGAAAAAGGTGTTTCAGGTAATGGTAGCGGTTACGATTACCCACTGACTGACTTTTCACGGTATCCCTCATAAGATCCCCGGAATTGTGTTTTGAAGCCTACCCGGGGCAATGATCGTGACTACGTAACAGGCATTCATTAAATCACTTGAAAAAAGAAATCAAAAGCGGAAGTGACATCAGTAATCAATAAAATATACTGTAACATCAAAACTGTTCCCTGAAAATCGTCAAAAAGATGAAAAACTCCGGTGCTGTGAGATGCTCTTGTAAAACATTCCCGCTTAGCTCTAGAAGTGCCACAAAAGTACCGAATAAGTACCGAATATGGGAAATCTTCGTGGTAGCAATCTTTTATGTACGGTAGTATGGAAATATCTTCCGTGTATGCGCAACGCTTTTATGCCAATTAGGCCCGATTTTCATATTGCATCTAAGATTTGCTCGGTTGTTATCCTCAAGCCTCCCGGAAGGCTTCAATCCAAAAATAGACCTTTGGCCGGCCATTGAAATAAAATTTCGGGTAAGCCTAAGCAAAAAACTGAAATGGTACCAAATACAGGAAGTGTAAAGGAAACTGCATAAGCCCCGAGCTGGCTTCCCCCTGATGACGTTTCTGAATAGTCTTCGCAAAGTAAATAAATCATTAGTTCGGTTCTCGGGCCGAAAAATCTGTAGGACACTTGACTGTGCTCATTTCGATGTTTTCGGGCATGAGCTTTGGAAATGAAGGCAAATTGCCCAGGTTCACGATGGCCTGATGAGGGAAAACCCCGGGGTTTCACTGGCTGTCCTTCTGTCGATAGGAATATGGGATTGCTGGATCCCTGCCATTAATGCATGCAAAACCAGTCCTCAAACTTCTTGTGGACTGGCTCTTCTGATGGCAGTTGGGCGGAGGGCAGAGCAGCGGTATGGATTCAGGCCAAGTCATTCAAATATTCAACCTTCCTCGTAAGTCGTCACAGTTGGCTAAACCAAAGCAGCGCATCAAAAGTCTGAATTAGCCTTTTAGGCCACTGCTCATCAACTTTATGCAACACCTGTGCCCTACGTAATGGAGCCTAGGTCCTAGATAGGCCTTGAAAACCTAAGACCATTCTCCACACATTAGTCCATCCAAAGCGCCTTTGAAACGCCGAAGTATCATTAGAATCCTGAATTTTCTGTAGAAAAGACACAGCTATCCAGATGTTGACACGATTCCCATTCTCATCACCTCGACACCAATCGGGGACGAGTGCGAGATTCATGGACCATTAAATATGAGGTTGAGAGGTTGCGCGAAGGGGTTTAATGCTTAGCGATAATGATGAGCCACCCGGGCTGGTTCGTTTTGATTTTCGACACATTCAAAAATCATTTCTTTGCACTTATGCAATCGATATATCTAACCCATACTATAACTGCGAATCGGCCGTTTTTTTTTGACACCATTTGAAGATCACCCTTGTTCATCTTCAAAATGATCTAAACTGACCCTTTTCAACCTTCAAATTGCTCTGGTTTAATAGCTGTGCGATGATGATATTTCATGAAGCGATGATAGAGCGGTCTATTTAGTACCGCCTGCAGAACTTCGAACGACAATGTCGGGGTTTGGGAGCCCACCCAGTCCAATTCAAGGGTCATCAGGAGGATCAGTAACGGCTTTAGCCCATTTTCTTCCCCTCCTCCCCCGATAGAACCCAAAACCGTTGGTGTTCGATTTTGTGTCGTCCTTCAAAGGACGTTCGGACGGGCGAAGCCCAGATGACCGTCGTCTCCACGACTACCGTAACCGGGCCGAATTATCATTCTCGACCATCCGAGCTCATAGCGATGTCTCGTCGGCACGCGCGTTGCGATTTTCCGCCCCTGCGAACACCTGCGTCACCTGCGCGCTTCAGCGTCGACCGCCGCTGCGCCGCTACCGTAATCTGCGCGTTTTGGTGACGCGCGCACGACCTCCAAGCGCCGGCATCCTGCGCCAATTATCCTACCCTATAACAAAGAACGCACGCTGTAGGACACGCGTGTCCGATGACGAACTGACATACACACATTCGAATGAAAAGGCCAAATATGAATGCCAGAAGGGTCCAATCGAAAGAATCTACGAGCCTTTCAAAATTATTCGACATTTTTTCAGGTGAAGATCTGGTTTCAAAATCGTCGCTCAAAGCAGAAGAAGTCGAAAGGCAGTGTGGAACGGACGTCGGATGAAGAAGGCGAATCCGAGGATCGAGCCGATTCAACTCCACCCGAAGAAGGCGGCTCCAACAACACCGTGACGGACTGGCAGCATATGACTGGTTTGGCGCCTGCCAGCTTACCCTCAGCAGGACTTCCGCCGACTGGTCTTGGTCCTTCCAACCTGCCATCGACGGTTCTACCACCGCAGTCTCAGCAAACTGCCGTACCGCCATCGGGTTTAATGCCACCGCCGTTGAACACCCCTCTATCCACTTATGACCCACTCAAGTACTCCTCGAGCGATGAGCTTAAGCCATTCTATGATCAATCCGCCTATTACCAACCGTATATTCTCCCACATTCAGGGTACAATGGTTACTAGTATAGAGAGAGTTAGCTCGTTTTCCATCATCATTATCCGCTTACTTTATTTGAAAAATTTACCAAATGATCTTCGTTGGTCGGCTGGCTATGGTTACGTAACCCGGCCAGATGTCAGCCATCACTGGGGCTTGTGAAGCCAGTCCACATTTCTCATCCCTGTGCTCTTCGTTCATTTCTATTTTTCATGTACTTATTTCGCCCCCACAAAGAATATCGTTTCACACGCACACGTGCACACAAGTCCCCAAGCAATCGTTTACGGATCTGTGTTCCTTTAAATTATTGATTATTGAAATGCATTGATTGATTGATTGATTGATCGATTTTATATTTTTGTTTTCATCGTTCTATGTGTGGCATTGTGGACCAAGTCTCGCCGTTTTGTCTTGTCAGATTGTACATGATTTATATAAATCTTAATAATAATAGTTGCTAATAGTGAGATCAAAAACCTGGGAACTTTTTCAGCTACTCGGGTAATTTTCCACTTTGTGGACCCACTACAAGTTCCTTAGTGAGCCAAAGAGTTACAAAGCACTAGAATATGAGGGCGTAATTGCTAAGCT